GATCTCCTCCTCCTTGCACCGGCTAAAGAGCCACAGGAGGAGTCGCCGGTGCGGATCGCAAAACAAAAAAGGAAAACCATCCGGTTCTTTCACTTCCGGGCTCCCCGCTTCCGGAGGCTCCGCCGCGTCCTCTCCTTCCGGTTTCCGGTAAGCGGCTCTCTCTCACACTGCGCGTGCGCGTTCAGAGCCCCGGAGTTTAAAAAGAGCTTTGCTGGCTCTTTTCTTCCGCTTCGCGCTCGGCCGAGCTCCCTGGGCTTGCAATGACACCAAGCGGCCAGGAGGGGGCAAGCAAAGAATGAGAGGGTGGGTGGTGGGGGAAGAGAGTTTCACCGCCCGCCCCGGGGAATGCTGGGAGTTGAAGTCCACCTCGCCTCTTCTTAATAGGGCCAAACTTGAAAAGCCTGGGTTGGGCGTTTCCCACGTGCCCCAGAATTGGGGTGCAGCCAGGATCAGAAGGTGGGGGGCGGGGGGAAGGAGGGCTTCCTTCTCCCGTTCAAGCTTGCAGCCATCATTATATTGACCAGCATTTTCAAAAAAAAAAAAAAAACCCACCCAGAAACCAGCTTCCTAATTTTGCCTCCCAATCAGAATAGAGCTGGAAGGGGCCTCGGAGGTCTTCTAGTCCAGCCCCCCCGCTCAAACAGGACATTTCAGACAATGTGACTGTCCAGACTGGGGGAAAGCAGCAATTTGTCCCGAAGCTTGAACCCAGAATACAGGCTCAAATAAGGAAGAGAGTTTATGAACACTTGATTTCCCTCCAGTTATCCATCCAGATGTTGACTGAATTGGGCAATTTTGTCCCCTTATTTTTATTTTATTTTATTTATTTTATTTCTTTGTCAATCGAGCCCTATCAAGTCCTTTCTCAAGGACCTGTTCGTTTGTTTGTCAAGCATGTATGAGAAAACAAGTATCAAGAAACAAGACCTAGCCAGCAGAGGTTTGGAAGCAACGTTTTTTTTAACAGAATAACGGCGTTGGAAGGAACCTTGGAGGTCTTCTAGTCGAACCCCCACCTCCTTTGCTCAGGTAGGAAACGCTACATCGTTCCGGACATGTTGATATTTGATGGTGTTAAAAGCTTTTCTGAGTAAAACCTGCCTTTTGCAATTGACTGGTGGGGATTTTGTCAATGCCCATGGTATTTTAAGCGGTGCTTCGGATGTTTTGGGATGGCATCCAGGTTGCCTATGGTTATTGGTACTGCTTTCTTTCGTTGCTGTCGTTCTGCTTTGTATTTTGTGATATTTTAGATTAGATTAGATTAACAGAGTTGGGAGGGACCTTGTAGGTCATCTAGTCCAACCCTCCGTTCTGTTCCGCTGTCTCCAGGTATGGATGGTTGCATGGTCCGTCAGAAGCTTAAACTGGATTGGGCGTTTATACCCTTCCCAAAAGCATGAGAGAGGCCAATAGTGTTAAAGGGAAGTAAAGTACAGTAATTAAATGAATTGATTAAATTAAATTAATACAGGAGTATTAAACTATAAACCTATAAACAAAAATGATGTGATTTGTTTCGTGTTGGTTTGGTGTATTGTGGGAAACCCCAAATCTAGGTCAAGTAAACCCAATTTCAGTCTCATTCAAACATAGGCTAGTACCCCAGAGGGTTTTTTTTGTTTTGTTTTAAGTCAAAATTATTTTTACGGTTGGTAGTACAGTCAGATTGTATCCCTCTGTTAAGGCCGCTTAAACTGTTTCCTCCCCTACTCTCAAAACGATGCTATAGAGCACCGCACACCAGAACAACTAGACACAAGGACAGTTTTTTCCCCGAATGCCATCACTCTGCTAAATAATTCCCTCAACACTGTCCAACTATTTACAAAGTCTGCATTACTATTACTGTTAATCCTTCCATTCACCCATTTCCTCCCACTTATGACTGTATAACGTTCATTCTTACGATATAACTGTTTCCTAATATGATTTGATTGCTTATTGTACCCTATGACTGTCATTAAGTGTTGTACCTGATGATTCTTGATGAATGTATCTTTTCTTTTATGCACACTGAGCATTTGCACCAGACAAATTCCTTGTGTGTCCAATCACACTTGGCCAATAAAGAATTCCATTCTTACTCCTATTACAATTCTATTCTATTCTATTCTATGTCTAATTCTATTCTATTCTATTCTATTCTTATTCCTATTCCTATTCCTATTCCTATTCCTATCCTATTCTATTTCTGTTCTATTCTATTCCTATTCCTATTCTATTCTATTCTATCCTATTCCTATTTTATTCTATTCTATTCCTTGTTCTGTTCTATTCTATTCTATTCTATTCTATTCTATTCTATTCTATTCTATTCTATGGATGGCATTGGCTTTGTTGGCTGCTGCCACACACAGCTACCTCATATTTAACTGAGCATCCATCCGTCCAGCTTCCCCCGCCAACAGGGAGGGCTCAACCACTCACCTCTGAGCATGGACAGATTTCAACCTTCCAGGAAATCTTGGTCCAACTTGGGCTTTGCAATGCGTTAGAACAAAAATCTCTCTGGTCTAAATAATCTGCCGGGTTTTCTCACCTCGTCTACTGTAGATACCTGGGTATATTTAGCAGGTCCTCTCTAGGATTACAGACCAGGATATGAAGTCTCTGCTATTTTGCAGCTCAGCTGTCCTTAAGACCCCGAAGGAGGCTAACCTGATCCAGGCACACGGAGAGCCCCCACATCTGTCTCTGCCTGTAAACTCTGCACAGAAGTGGGGGAAGGAGAGAGGAGGAGGGCAGGGACTTGGGACTTGAGCCATGCCAGATCTGCTCGGGCTGGGAAGGGAGAATTTGACCGCTGAAGTCTGAGGCCATTCTTAGGCCCAGAGAAATAGCGTCAAAATTGCTAATTACAGCTCAAAAGAGGTTGACCTCCGAAATACCATCTGGAGAAGGCGGTTGTGTTTGTGTGCAGCAGGAACCAGGCTACCCCGTTAAGCGAAAAAAGGTTTCAAACTTAGTTTTCCGTGAGCGCCACAGGACTACCAGCGTAGTTTGGTGAACACCTATTCCACCTACAACGAGGCCGTTCAACGGCACTGGAAAAAAAGAGTGGCGGGGCCAGTGGTACGTGCGATTCAACTGGTGTAACAACCAGTTTGGTGATCACGCACTTCGTGTGAGCACGTACACTTCGCGTACGTCAGTGGTTCTGACCAGTTTTGGAGAACCGGAAGTGGAAATTTTGAGTAGTTTAGAGAACTGGCAAATACCACCTCTGACTGGCCCCACCAACCCCATCTATTCTCTGCCTCCCGAGCCCCAGCTGATTGGCTGGGTCTTCTTTGGTTGCCCTGCACAGGAGAACGGAGCTGGAAAGCAGGTTGGTGGGGTGGGGAGGGAACGGAGATTTTGCAGTATCCTTCCCCTGCCATGCCCACCAAGCCAGTAGAACCAGTAGTAAAAAAATTTGAATCCCACCACTGGTGTATATGTACACCATTTTAAAAAGCCCATTTTCAGCTATAATACTTACCTTCTATTGCACCCCCAGTGAGTAAAACAGCACGTGCATCAGCTGTGCTTCAAAACAAGGACATAAAGCATGGGAAAAGAGCGGGGGCGAATGGGCAGAGCCAAACCATCAGCGGAACTACCGGTTCGCTTGAACCGTTGCAAACCGGTAGAATCCCATTCGCTGCGCGGGGGCCCGTCTTCACCTTTGCCGCATCCCCGTCACTGCGGGGCTTACCTTCAGAGGCCACTGACTCGCACTTATGACCGTTGTGGGGTCTCCAGAATCACGTGGTCTGATTTTGTGACCTTCTGACACAGGCCAAGCTCATGGCAAGTTCACTGGGCGACCAAGTAATAGAACTGCAGTGACTCGCTTAACACATGAGTGCGAGAAACGTCGTACGATGGAGGAAACTTCCCCTAATGAATTTCTCGCTTAACAACAGAAAGCAAACCCAGAGACCTGGCATTGCTTTTACTGCTTCCCCCCTAATTGTTTCCCTGATTCCTGCAGCTTTTTTGGGGGGGAATCTCTCCTATAAGAACCCCCCCCCTTTTGCTCTCTTCCTAGCTGATGTCCACATCTGTGCCGAAATGACGGAAGGAAAAGCACGTACAAACCAATGTGAGTTTATTCTTTGATTTTCCTTAACAAGCAGGGCTTTCCTTTGAATTCTGCAACCTGACCAGGGGCCTTGAATTCCACCAGACCCCCCCTTTAAAAAAAAAATAATTAGGTGGAGTAGCTGAATCTTTTCCTATCATACCCCTGCTCCACAACGAAGAGACTAAAATTACATTCCTGGCTGCCACCACGCACGAGGATTTCTGGATCCGGCATAGCAAAGATTTAATATTTCTTATCATGGTAACAACATGCTCAATTTCAGCTTTTTGTTATTTGGATTTCTCCACTTCCTCCCACAACTCGGTCTTTCTCAGAAGCCCAAGGAGCAGGCAGTAACTTTTGATTTCCCAGCGTTTTCTTCTTTCTGAGGAGCAAGTCCTCCCCAAATACACAGAAAGCGGTGGGTTTATCCCCATTTCCCACCCTCGTTCCTTCAAGAGTCGTGGTTTCTCTGGATAATGCATGCTTTATGCAACTCGCAGACAGAGGGGTAACAGCCAGCGGAAAGAGGCACGGTCAAAACAGATGCATTACAAGACATTGCAAGGAAGGTCGGAGTCATTCCTTCCCGGAGAGAGGAGAAAAAAAGGGAATATCGTGGAAAAAGTTTTGAAGAGGAGAAAACAGGACATCCTTCTTGTCGGAGGAGGAGGGAGAAGGTATAATGCAAGGAGAAAAAGCTTCATTCTAGGACGGACTCTCGGCAACCCACCAGACCTGCAAAGTACAACATTGTCAGGCTGTGGTTGTTTTTCCTCCCCGGGGTGAAAACTTCTCCGGGGGCGACCAGCAGAGAAGTCGATCTGGAGTTTGAGGACTCAGTGAGGATGTGCCTCCTGTGCGCCTTCATCCCTGGTGCCCTGAGGTGCTACGTCAGGTCCACGGACGGAAGTCAGAAGTCCAAGGAAACTCCCATTTCCTCTCAACCTCCTTTGTGAATCAGGCCTTACGTGATCTCTCCCCGGTTGGGAGAGTTCAGAAGCCAGCAACGATCTCCAGCTTGGAAGACAGCCAACGGATGAGTTGGGCACGAAAGCAAGGCAGGCAAGCTACACGTTACACTTCTGGCGGTGCGTGAAAAAGGAGTCGCGGGTTGCAAAAAGAGAGCTCCCTAAACGCATTCTTTAAGAAAGACTGGTAATTATTATTATTATTATTATTATTTTTCCTGTTTTCGGTTCTTGAGGGGGAGGGATGTGAAAATCTGGACGCACAGCCCCACCACAACCAGCAAACATCCCATGGAGATTTTCAACCGGACGCCTCGATCCAGGTTTTGTAGGATTAAAAAAATAACGAACAAGCCGGATCTGGTTTGTTGAGCATCCGTGGGTTTTCATTTCTCCGTGGGACAGAACCCCCGTGTCACGGGTTTGAAGAATGGGAAGCGTTCACATCCCGCGTCTCTGAATTCAGATGGTGTGCTGCGTTGCAGGGGAAGGAGGGAAAGAAAAAAGAAAACGAATTAAGGTGGGGAAAATCCAGAAGAAGGAAAAGGAAGGGAGGGGAGAAAAAGAGAGAGAGAGAGAGAGAGAGAGAGAGAGAGAGAGAGAGAGAGAGAGAGAGAGAGGCAGAGAAATTGAGAAAGTTTGACATAGTAAATTATTCATCCACCGGGCCTAATGGACACATTATTTAATGGTCCGTGTTCCCATTAAACAAACAATCCGTTGCATTAGCAGCTCGGTGCCCTTTTGAATTCAAAAGCATTTAAGTTGCCATCGACAGATGTCACCTCCGCAACACTCAACGCTGAATTATGCATCAGGGCAATCTAAAAGAATCAATAGCCAGCCCACTTGTCAGGAAATGACTCGAAGCTTGGAGCCCTGAACATGGGAATGTGCCACCAAGCTCTCCTTAGGCCGTTTTTTTAAAATATATTTTTTTAAAATTTTCACTTAGAGCACATGCAATTCATCTTCCGTTTATCGCTGTGTCGCCTGGGTTCAAACAAAGTTTACATCCATGTTCCTTACTTTAGTATTCATTCTCTATTCTTATCTCATTTTTATCTTGTTAATATACATAATATCTCTATTACTATAACACTCCTCTTCTAGACATATTGAATTCTATTAACGTCTTTTCTATATTTCACTAGTAGAATAGAATAACAGAGTTGGAAGGGACTTTGGAGGTCTTCTAGTCCAACCCTCTGCCTAGGCAGGAAACCCTAACACCCCTTCAGACAAATAGTTATGCAACATCTTTTTAAAAAACTTTTTGGCTCGGGGGCCACATTGACTTTTAAAATTTGACAGACAGGCCGGGTCAGCACAAGTTTTTTGGGGAATTGCCCCCCCACCCTCCCCACCCTTCTTCTCCTCCTTCCCCTCCCCTTTGAGGCCCCCTGAGTCAGGAGTTGCTATCGCCGGCGCAGCTCCGCGGGGCGTTGCCTCAGGAAGGGAAAGGCAAAAAAGGAAGAGCCGCGTTGGTGCTTTGCAACGGCAGCAGCGGCACCGGAGGCTCAGGTTCAGCGGCTCCTGGTTCGGCCTTTCCCTTCCCAAGGCAACGCGGGACTGGAGCCGCGCGGAGCTGCGCCCACGGTAGCAACTCCTGACAGCCCCAGCCGGATACCTGAGCGGAGCCCGGGCGGAGGGAAAGCAGTGGGCGTTCCCTGGGCGGCGACCTCGGCCCCGCCACCAGGGAAGCGGCTGCCCAGCTCCGTGTTGTGTGTGCGATTTTATGGCGCGCGACGTGGGGTCTCTTTTGGCCGGCCCCCAATTTTTTTTCAGAGGGGAATTTTTTTTTCAGAGGCGGGCCGTATTAAAATGACCAATGGGCCGGTTGTGGCCCGCGGGCCGTAGTTTGCCCACCCCTGGTCTATTAGCTACTTCTAGCTTTCATATTTTTTTTCTCTCTTTGCAAATGGGCTTTCGCCCCGCCCGCAAAAGATAGTTTTTGCCTCACAGCTGCCCATTTTCATTTACAAGCTATTCTGGTAAATCACGATCGGCTTCGAGCCGGGATTCTTCCAAGCAAGGCTGAATTATCGCTTTGGAGTCTTGTCTGTCATCTCCCAACTGTCAGCTTTCTTGGTAACTCGATGCCGGCTTGATGGGAAATTGCACGCATCGTTTTGTACGCTGGTCTCATGGCTCTACACCTCCCTGCGCGCCCCCCCATGCAATTCCTTTGCCCGTTGTCTAAGCTAAGGAACTTCAGACACAGAAGAAAAAAAAAACACGGGTTTTTGTTTGCAAGAATCTCACTCCCTGGTGAAATGCTTTGGGTTTGCCTCCTGCCTCTGTGTTGGCCCCCGTGTTTAGCTATAATCCTTCAGACACGTGCAATCTCCTGCTCCCTTAATTAAAGGCGCTCTTTGAGTTAATGGAAGCAATTAATCCAACCGCTGCCAATGGGAAACGCCACGGTTCCCGTTTGGAACATTAAAAAAACAAAGCAAAAAACGTAGCTCTGAAGAGCTGGAGGGGACCCTAAGGGGTCATCCAGTCTAGTCGTTTGCAAGCGTGGCCACTTGGTAATATGTGTAGACTTCAACTTGCAGAATTTCCTAGCCAAGTTACGGGTTGACTTCATCTCCCAGAATTCCCTAGCCAGCATGGCTGGACTCCAGCTCCCAGAAT